AAGGGATATACAAATAACAAACCAAAAGTGTGACCTGGATAAGTTTCCTATATTGGATTCATAAAAGAAACTTGTTAAAGTTTTGAAGGGATAAATTTAAATTGTTAAATTTTGTGAGAAGGGATAAAGAAAAAAATGAAAAGAAATCAAGTTCTAGGACATTATTTGAAAGGATTAAGGATCAAGATTGTTAAAAGTAGAAGGAAGGAATATAAAGTTGGTTTATTTTATCAAAGTTAAAATAGATATGGTGTTATTTCTTAATGAACTTTTGCTGACCACAACTGAACGATGAGGCTTTAAGAATTTGTTTATAGATAAGAGATGGGATATGGAAAGAAGAGATCATTTGTTGTATTTTAAGAGAAGGTGATAAGTTACTAAAATTGTTTATACTTCTTATAATGAAAGGGGAAATCATTTCTTTATATATTTTGTTTTGCTTTACTATATTATTTTTCTTTCTTTTCTATTTTTTTTCTATTTTTTCCTCTTTTCTGCACTATTTTTCTTTTTTCTTTTGTATTAGTTTTTATGTTGTTAATTGTAATGTTTAATAAAATTATTATAAAAATAATTTCCTTTATATAAGTGAGTCTATCAATATGTATTTCACTTTAAAGCTGAATGTAAAACTCCTTTTGGACTGCAATATGCCTGTGATGTAACTAAAAACCTAAAGTATATTTGAGATGCCAACAAGAAGGGTTATAATATCATTCCATGACCTGAAAAATATTACAGGAAACTGATAAATTACATTGATTAGAAATTGGTCAGTCACACTGAGCAGCTGATATAGTCAAGTAATGGCTTTCATATGAAAAAAAATTATTAGTTATTTAATCTATGATTTTCTGTTCAATATTCAGCTTGTATTCATTTCAGTGGACAGTAAGATGAGAAGTACAGAATCTAATACATTTCTGGCAGGTTCAGAGATAAAATCTGGCTTTCCCCCATGACAGACTGCACTTTGTGTTATGAAAGAGAAATTCAGTGCCAAGAAAAACTGCAGATTAGACAGATTTTTTTTCTGCACCTGATTAAAAAAAATGCTTAGTTAATCTGCATACACTTATATAATTTAACATATGCG